ATCATCTATTAGGTTGAACAAAGTATTATTTAATTGAATATTTATACAATTGTTATAGAAAATAAGTATTGTAGAGGCTAATTTGTATTATTAAGGAGGCTGCTCATACCTTACCATCTTTATATTTCTAACATAATGGAGATGGTGAAATTTTTCGAACCTCTCCAAACAATACATTTGAATAAACACAAATACAAAATATTCAGCTTCATAGATCATTCCCAATATGAGAGTTTAAACATGGCACTTTCACAAAACCAATTTATTGGGATTCAGCACTTGATATTTCCAACATCACTTGAAATATCAAATCCAAAATATAATTGTTCAAACCTTATTATTCCTTGATTCAAACTTAGTATGGAGTCAAAGAGGGATGAGAGCTGAGGTAAGCAATGTTTTTGATATTTGACCTGCCCCTCTTTTGATATTTTGATTTCAAAATCACCCACTTTGCAGGGTGGATGATTTGGTGAAGTATCAAGTGATATATTGGAATATCATAGGATACTATGAACTTGCATCAGGAGTGAAATATCTCCCAAAAAGGCCATGTTTGAAAACCCAAATACAGTAAAAATGACATAAAATAACTACATTTTGTGATCAAATGCATGAGGTGCAGTAAGAGTCACTCTAAGCCTGCCATAATCACGGTGAGCAACCAGAACTGTGAGTGGAATCAAAGAATTTTCTTCAAAGTTGATCTTCCTCGTCCTCTTTGAAGTGAATTGGATCTTTCACAGAATACTAAAGTGCAATATTAAACAATTGGGTTGCCTTCATCAGATGAATACTGTTTTTTGCATGACAATACCAAGCCCAACAGCTCACAAAAGTGTCAGGGGTGGCTACACGCCGACAGTGGCCCAGCCACAAGTTTACTAAGTTTACGCTTCAGTTTGCTGAAAGCCGACTTGTATGGTCGCTGTTGGGGTGAACGGCCCTGCATCACGCATGCACCACGTCTAAATCGGGTTAAAACCCGCTCCTTTTCTCGGCATGCACAGGAAATTCAGCAACTTGGAATGTTCGGCGCATGAAAGCGTCCATCCACCTTCGAATCAGGCCGCGCGGTGCATACGAATCCTGTTGAGTTAGTCTTCATTGGAGCATTTTCAAACGGAAGAAGAATTGGTCCTCCACTCCTTCCCACCTCCGCACAGATTTTTTCTCGTCGCTGGTTTCTAACTCCGTCGCTTTTCTTACCATTCGAAGTCACCAAATACAACGCTCCAATGCTGTGTGTGCTCATCTCACAACATTCTCCGGTGTTTGCTATTTCGATCTAGGATCGGGTTTGAAGGAGGCACCTGTTGTGGATTGGGTGACGATTCTTATTTTGTCGGACCTGATGTTGCTGTTGCGGTGCAGTCTGCTTTGATTCCGTAGACCTTGTCTTTGTCAATCGAGTTTTTTTTGGGTTGGAGCTTTGGATGACTTGTGGTTATGTGTGATGTGTGATCTAGAATATCTGTTACATCTTTGAGTTGGTGTCACGTTGGGTTCTTACCCCATTGTTCACATGTTTATGTTAATATGGCAACATCGTTGGTCACCCTCTCTTGGAATTTTTTGGATCCAAGGCGCTTCAGGAGCACTTTCTGACTGTTGAATTGGAAGAGCTAGTGGCAACATTAACGAGGTTATTTTATTCGAGGCTTTTCCGATGACAACCATAAACATTTTTTAACATGACCGTGCTGCCGATTGTCAGGTGGCAGATTTCAAATTCATGAACTGGCCCTGCTACGGCAACGGATTCTGGAACTACGATAGCATAATTGTATTGAACTGTTACTAGTCTCTGCGTCCTCTCTAACTGTTCTTCTTGTGCTGAAATACATCTGAAGTAGCATGCAGCAACCTCGTATTTCACTTGTTCGATTTTCAGAAGCTGACAGAACTAAGGGTGAATTTGTAGAAACTTGTGTGTGAATTCATGTATGATGCCAGACTGCAATTACGTCAGGTTGAAGAGAATCAACATGGATAGAAACGGGCATATAAACTCAAGATTCAGCTTAACAAGCATCTAGGTTACGAAAAAATCGAGACTCTAGAGATAAACTCTTGTGCATGCATTTATGATGCGCACATGAAATATTATTACAATATACATTAGTAGGCATGTATCAGATTATTGAGTTAAAATTTACTGCTCCAGTCGAACGAACCAGACTTTCTGAAAAATTAAATAATGCTTTCCATGTGGCAGTGGTGCAGTCAAAGAGCACTAGCTACGCAGGGACCCACGGCATAATGACAAAAAAAAACCAATGACACGTTTGGAGCCATAATTGTTGAGCGAAAGTTCACTGCATACTTTCATGCATTACACTCAGAACTCGCTCGGGCCCCCGCGGAGTACCTCATCAAAACAACCGACTGTTTAGCGTCGGATTTACAAATATCATAACTTGGCAATATATGGCAACCATGTATCTGATAATGCACTTAAGGCTGTTTCTAGTAAGTACTGTTCGTGATTCAGCTGACCACTCTGGGTGTATCCTTTCATTACGGCAACTGCATTCCACAAGCCACAGCAAAGTAAGCATACCATTGAGCTTTGAGAAGTCAAATTATACAATGATTCAGCATACGCTTGTTTCGTTTCTGAAACTCTTTGTTCGCCTTCTCTAATTGTTCTCAATGCTTGCGTACGCACTTGGAGTAGAGGTAAGGAATAGTGAAAGTTGTGATAATAGGCGAAGGTTCTGCTTACTGTTCCTTGCTATGAATGTACAAATGTCTTCGCATCCCTGAGCCTCGACCACACACCCGTAATTTTCACAGGTAGCTGAAGGAGTTAGACGCGCTGCAATCGTGAACGAAGGATGAAATCAACAACCAAGAGTGCGAGTCATGAAATCTTGGGCCATTGAAAAATAATTCCTCGAAATGTATTGTCAGTAAACGGTGGATGGTTGTTGACATTCTATGGATTTGCTCTCACAAAATATGAAAATAGGATACTAAGATTTACTGGGTTACTAACCGAAGTCGAGAACCATGCCGACATAGCTCTCTCTCTGCAGAAGACAACCTCTCATTGCAATATCATCCACAAACATCGTAACCAACTTTTGAAGTGCTCATATCTGGCCAAATATCCAATTGCATGCTCATAAGCTCAATCAAATCTCTGAAGTTGTATTCTTGAGCTAGGATCCGGCAGTCCACCAGATTATGAAACTCTTCACAACTTCAACAATATGAATGAATTCACTACCTCAGTATTCACGTCAGTTCTCACTGTACAATGTATCAAACAGCATGTTGGAGCGTACGAAGTAGAAAAATTTCTTGCAGAAGAAGTCATTTCAGGAATTGATGTGGTTAAGGCTACGAACATGGGCTTGTCCGAACCATGTGCCATGTCGAAATGTCTCTGGAATTGACGCTCTGTGAAAGCTTTTCACAACAGCACATGTGAACCCCAAAAGTGATGCCCTGAAGGAAAAACTCCAATCACAAAAACAAAGCCATAAAACCAGGAAAACACATTAGTTCTCAGGGCGTGATTAGGCAAGTACGAGAGCCACTAATCCTACGAATACTGCCAAACTGATTCGACCAAAGCAGCAAAAGAATATTCACAATCCACGACGAATTGAATTGTGCAAACCATGGAAAGTGACTTACTGTTTCGTGGAGGCAACTTGAGTATTTAATACATTGCAAATTTAAAGATGTATTTCCTTTCTTTTTAAACAACTGGGGTTTACCCAAATCCGTACGTGTGTTTGTTTCATAAATATTTCAACAAACAATTAATTAAAGGAACCATTAGGTGGACATTCCTCTTTTTACTAAGTGGACACCTTTGTGCTACATACCTCCACATCCACAGACTAATATCATTCCTACTTGACTATTTTTTAATGATGAGTTTTTCAATGATTATATTATTACTATTCGAAAAGAGTTATGAAAAAATAAAATATCTAAATTGATGTGTTGGTTTGTGCTTGAATGATTGATATCACATATTAAAATCCAAATGGATGTTCTATGTCAAAAAAAACAAACTAAAAAATTATGCAGTTAACTTGCATAAATGATTGAAAGTATAATAATATTTGTTCTTTTAAAAAAATCCTAATAAATTAATGGAACCTCATATTGAGATGTCTATACAATAAAAGAGGAGCGTCCCCCTAACAATTCCCTTAAATTGATTGTTTGAATTCTATTTTTTATGATTGCAATTATTTGATTACTTATTTCTCTTTTTCATGTACGAAAAAAAACAATACTAGCATGACTTTTACAGTAAATAAGATAAAAAAAACAATCATTGATACATCCCATCTTTTTGCATGTGATAATATAATAAGAACAATGTAGTAATTTGTTGTTGATACTATCAGTTGCCGGTAGTTTTAGTTTTAGCTTCCACGTACAAAGATAGTGACAATTCTGATTTAAGATCACAAAATTAACTTGTTGGGGCTGGTACAATCCCGACAAAACGCAAGAGATTACTTGGTACGACAATTCACTTGGACCCCACATGCCAAAACCCTACAATTCATCACTTGAATTGTCAAAAATGATAAGTCAATAAACATTTACGCATTAAAATTTGACCAGCTACAGACGATACTCACAAAGAACAAATGCACAACCTAAACTACACAACGTGCTTGGCCTTGGAAGTTCTAAACACTAGAAGAGCCGTCGGGATTGTACTCATCGACACAACTTCCCCGAACTGAGCTGAATGCTACTTTCCCATCAAGTAAACAGGGAGAAGAATGTGACTGGGATTCGTTGACTATCAGACACGTGTGAAATTAAAGGGTGTAGAAAATGAACTATGATTTTGACGCTAGAAGTACTTTTACGCAACCTCTGATAGCTACCGTAGGCACACTGCAAGAAATCCATCAATTCGGCATTGTACTCTTCAACCTTGGAACGAACATCAAATTCAACGCCACCAACAAGGGGCACCAAACCATCAAAGGCCCAAGTTTAGCTACGGTCAGCAATTCAGGCCAATCAATAAATAGTCGTTAATGACAGGAGAAAAGAACAAAAAGGTTCCAGAAAAAGGTCTACAGTACAACTGAACGAGCAAGGATTCAAGATCCATATACTTCTGATAGAAGTTCCCAAAACAGAAGCCGGAGATGTTATGAAAATTTGCGGGGTCAACGTTTTGATTTCGGCAGTCCAGGCCCTTAGTACTTCTAGCGTTGACCGTCCCAAATCAACAAGATATTTCACGGAGGCGGCTATCTACAAGACTGTCGGATATAAAGGTGACGTGTCGAAGGAACGTGAGGTACAGAACCTAATTAGCCAGCATCTGCTCGATCGGAAATGTCAGCCCTCATTTTCACCAGCCAACTGAGCAGAAGAAATTGTAAATGAAAAATTTAGGATAGTACGGAACTAGTTCAAACGAAAACCCTGAAGAGGACCTGCAACATAAATACCCTGAAATTGTTGTAACCGAGTCCCTCGACGTCGATAACAATGACAAGGTAAACCATTTTGGACTAGGCTGAACATCTTAAATTACAGACTTTCTGCATTGATTCAAGCATATAAATCGAGCTCTACCTAACCAACTTGTGCATATCTTGGTGCTCTCTCTACCTTCATCACATCCACCAGCCTGGTCACAAAACTGGCAGTACCATTTGCCAAATATACTTAATACGAAAAATTACTGAATGGTTTCGAGGAAGAGGGCGTTAATATAGACACATCGACAGAAACCTAAAAATTGTGATGGAATCGAATAACGACACAAGTAATGTTGTCAGCGCTTCCTTTCTTGTAGGCTTCGTCTGTCAACCTCTTGGCAGCCTCTTGAGCATCCTGAACATTCTGCACCATTGTCACAGCATCCTGTAGAAAAGCCCCACAAAAGTACGTAAGTGTACATGAAGACATACAATTTGATGTTAAGGTGGTGGTTATTCACACCAGAGGCAGTTGAATTGACAACTAACACAAACACAAATAATATCCACATAATGGGCAACATTCCTCCATGCAACTGCAAAACAGCTGTCAGATGAACAGAGTACAATATCTTGAAACCAACCTGGTTTGACACAACGTCCCATAGACCATCACTGGCGAGCACCAAAAACTCGACATCGCTGGTGATCAACTGATCCTGAGCACACCAGTAAACAATAAAATCAATGTAAAAATCCAGAATCAGAGATAACACATTTCCACTACTTCACCCTAACTGGGTCAATCAATTGCTGTATGAAGACGCCAGTCAACGAAAGTTAGCCATACCTGAATTTCTGGTTCCGCAACAACATACTTTTTGAGCAATCGGTCACCAAACGCCCGAGAGACTGCAAGAACGCCACCTACACGCCAAGTGCCTGGACAAACGAATACCGTGCTTAAGCCAATATTTCTTCAATTGGAGCAGTGGACCACACAGCCCAAAAATGAGAACAGCATACTACAAGAGGAAGGAGCAATAAATCACCCCTCGACACAATCAGAGTGACGACCTCAATTGCATATACTTATCCCTCTATCTCTACACGCGCGCACATACACACACACACACATATATATATATATATATATATATATATATATATATATATATATGTGTGTGTGTGTGTGTGTGTGTGTGTGGAAGTTGAATGTATATAAGCTACGCATTGTTATATAAAACTGAGCTGCACTCGGATAGAACTGAACATACTCACCAGACCACATGACCACTCCTCCAGCTTTTTCAATGCGTTGTCGTTCATCCGATCGATTTGGTTTGTGGTCAGTGGAAAGGGCAATCGCTGAAAGCACACGACAAAAGTATAGCATTAATGGGCTACGGCGTATCCACAGAATATCGTACCCCATTTTATACAAAACCAAAGCTACAAAAATTGGGATCAAGTGCGATTCATTTTAAACTAACGACATGCTTCATACCAAAAAGTAGCTGACCATGCACACACACGAAAGGCGCTAATATGACCCTAAAATTCTAAACAAGTAATCTTGAAATAGATTGGTGGAGTTGACTGATAGCTAAAGCCACTGAGAAGTTACGCTGTCACCTTTTCCTGCGATACAAATGACAGCCCTTGAGTCACCTACATTGGCAACAAGTAGACGATCTCCAACCAGAACAGCCGTGGAGGCAGTTGATCCTGCATCCCGGTGCTGGTTGTTCTCAGACTTAAGATACTCATTATCTGTTTGCTTGTAGGTCTCAGCTGTCAGATCAACACAAGATATTAACGACTCAGGCGATATTATTTACGGAGACTTCCAAAATACAGGGTGAACAATCATAGCTTAACTAAATGGACCAATTCCTTTAGTAGCGCCTTCCGCAAGAATACAGGAACAATTCGGTGGTGAGACACTGACAAATACACCAGCAGTCATTCTCAAGGGTGAACCATTACATACCAATTGCGACCTTCGTGTCAGTGACAAATTGAGGATGTTCTAACAAGTTCTTGAAGAGATTTTGCTTAACATAAACAGCTGCTCGGGAACCACCATGTCCTGCAAATCATCATTAACAAAACCAAATGACTCCGTCAATTAAAAATATAATACTTGCATGAGGGAGACTATCAAAAAATAACAGCTGAATTATAGAATTTCAAACTTTGCATCACAAATATTCAAAGCAAAGCTCAATAGCATGATATAAAACAGCAGAAGATAGACCAATATATTGACACACCACAAATTCAGAGGGGAGAGTGTAACTTAGCTCCTTAGCAGGTAAGAGATACTAACCATCAAATACGCCAAACAAACCAACAATTATACCATCAACTTTTGATATTTTGGTATCATGAAAATCTTCCATAGAGGCCCTCTTCCCACGTAAACTGGAAAAGCCATAGCTAAACTTCTTGTTTTCACTGTCCAAAAAATACAGACATGTCCTGAAGTATCCCATAAAGTACAGTGATATGTTCAAATTCTACTGAACAATTCTGAAATCATGCATACGTCAACAACTGGATTTCAGTTTCCTACAATAATCAACGCACAACTCAGATAATGCTGTCTAGCAGCCTGTCCGAACCTTACATTTGATTACTAAAACAGCGAATTAAAAGAAACTAAACCACTGATACTCCCAGGACAATGAAATCTGGTTTTAAACCAGTAAAGTGAGCAAAAACCATAATACAATAAGGATACTCAGAGGAAGTTGAAACTGTGTCAGTGTGAGCACAACGCCTACAACAGAACCTCGTAAACATTTCCACTCATAGACTAGGACCATCTGGCGGAGACTAGCCAGACAGAACGCCAGCTAAGGGAGCAACATTTAGGGCACAGTGAAATAGTCATGACAACGACAACAGATACGCAAGAAGTGGAATCTACAGGTGAATATCAACTCAGAATATGCTACGAGGAGATCAAAGCAGGCACTCGTAAGAACGTTACGAACTCCCTAACGACGACAAGGGCAACACCCAGATCAATACCTATGTCCAGGATGGATTAGTAAGAAATGAAAATATGTCTGCAATAAGTTACTTAGAACTACAACTAATAGAAAGATGAACAAAATGGAAAACAGATCAAAAATCTAACGATAGAAAACACCGCGTTGTTCAAGATTTCAGAAAAACGATGCAGAACTGTTGTTCAAACAGCGCCCAAAACTAACCAAACACGACGGTTCTAGCTCGATCCCGAGCAGCACGGTAGCATTCGCAAGTACAAGTTCAATCAAAGAACACAACGACTGCAAACTCCAGTCCGAGCTTCACTTATTTTGATCTGATTCGTTACATTTCACACAATAACAAAGATTTGCGCATACTCTTGATCCTCAATACAAGATATTCTCAAAATCCGAACTAGAATATTATCCTTCTAACCAACCCTAGATTCACGCTAGAAACAAGCCCGTCCGAAGGAAGCGATCATATCCCAGCCAAAGGCAACATCCAAAAACGACACCGAAATCAATCTCCCACACTCACTTTCACAACGGCCACAACAGACACACACCTTAAGCCACCTCCGTTGATGGGCACACTCGGCTCCGGCTGCGAAGGGTTGAACACAGAGTTGTAACCACTCATTGTGTCTCTCTTCAACGATTGCTACCACAGGCTGCAGAACTACTCGGTGGTCTCCTGTTTCATGCTAGTCGCTAAGTCTCCGTTTGCAACGCTTCACTTCGCTTCCCCTCTGAATATCCTCCCCTTCCGGCGTAGAAACCCCTGGCACTCTCGCGTTGTCGGTCGAAAACTGACCTCGAGCAGCTGCTTAACCACGCTCAGATCAGCATGTGCGTAGACACTAAGGTATGCGACAAACAAATCACTTCACGAGGCAAGAAGGAACAGACAACATCGAGCCATACCTGGTGCGAACACGAACAAATGGGAGCGCTATGAAAGAGCCATGAAGGGTTTGAAGCCTGAACCACAGAGGGAAGGAGGAGGAGGAGGACGGTGGACCGGGCCGGCCCCCCCCCCCCACCCCGATCAACGCGGACCAGGCCAGTGCTCACACCAGTTTGACTCTGGGATGGTACCGTGCTTTACTACTCATCCAAAATTTGACTGGGGTTGTTTCAAAATTGGACCACCCCTATTACCGCACCAGGAGGACGTTGCCTGGCCCAGTAGGATTCCCACGGTTATAGGGTACTACCTCAAACCCCACTCACTCTGCTCTCATATGATCTCACAGTCTGTTTTACTATTACTCGTTATGCAATTGCTAAGTAACTCATTCTGGCTTCTGGAAAGTTTGTGATTAGCATGTTTAAAGCATTTTGGTACTGAATTGTGAAACAAATATAAATTCAGGTGATTGAAACATATATATGTATATATATATATATATATATGTTCAACAATTTATTGTTGTTTGTTATTGATGTAAATTTTGAATTCTGGTTGCAACAGGTGTTCAAAAAACGAAATTGTTGAGGCCGTTAGTTTTGTGTTTAATGAGTGTGATAATTGTTTGATAGTGTTAATGAGATAAAAAAAAAAAAAAAAAAAAAAAAAAAACAAAAACAAAAACAAAACAAAACAAACACAAAACAAACAACAATAATTAAAAAATAAATAAATATATTATTATCACTTAAAAATTGTTTGATATGATCCAAGTTTATAAGCATATGGTCCAAAATCTTATAATGTGATATCCAAGAATGATACAAATAGTGTTACAAAACTCATATGACTAGATTCTTAAAAAAAAAAAAAAAAAAAAAAAAAAAAACTAAAACTAAAACTAAAATTTTAAGTCTAAAAAATATAAGAATAATATTGTGATTTATATTCATATAAAAAAGGATGAAATATAATTTTTGAATATACATTGAAAATAAAAATAATTGTATGTCACAAACATACATATATATTCAAATAATTACCTATATGATTAGGTAGAAATAGATAAAAGTAGGTTAATTTCATAATATCTTCTACAAAAGCTTCATAGACATTGCTTTGACTTTACACATGTATAACTATAGTTAATTGATACTATATTACACATGTAACTACAAATAACTATAGTTAATTGATAGGCTAGAATCTTGGTCAACACGTTAGTCACATGTCACATATATTTAAGTTGTAGAACAAGCCAACTATGTAGTCCACATATAGATAACTTGCCTTCTAAGCTAAGACATGTGTCTAGCAAAGCCAACACATGTTGGAGGTCTTATGGAATATCACTACGTAACTCTTAGTTAGAAAGTATATATGAAGGCAAGAATAAAGCCTTCTTTACTCTTATCAATCCCTTTCCAATTCTTAGTCTTGTTTCAAAACTTTCTAATCTTTTTGTCTCTAACAATAACCATTTTAATTTAATATATTACAAACTTTGAGTGATTTTTTAGTCTTTTTGAGTGATATAAGGATGTATTGAGGAATTCTTTCTTTGAGATTCATGTCCTTGACAATTTAAGCATATTAACTTATTGTTCTTGTCTTATTTTTAAAATGAATGGATTAACCTATTTCTATTGTTGTATTTTTAAAATTACAAACTATCTACTTTTAAATAAATATTTTAGTTTTTTAATATTGATTTTTTCTTTTAAAATAATATATTATCTTTCTTTATAGAAATTTCTACTTGATATTAGAGATAAAAAAATTATCTTCTTCTAATTCAATCTTTTGAATTTATTTGAATTATCTAAAGAAGGATAAATTATGGATGTTACTCTCAACAAAAGTAAGATTAGATTTGCAACTATTGCAGATCTTTATCAGCTTGCCAACACTGTAAGAGTAAAAATCTCACATATTTTTAATGTGAATCATAGAGATACTATTCATATACATATGAAAGAAGTTCAGAGTCTACACTAAGAATTTGTGCACTTAGTAGAAGCAAGAAGACGTGCTTTACAACCAAATTCAAGAAATCTTCCTTCTACAAGCACAAGGAATATAAATATTAATATCCCTGAGAAGTTTGATGGAATAAGATCAAAATTTCAAGGATTTTTCTAAAAAGTTAAGTTCTATTTAAGGTTGCATCATTTTTAATACTTTGATGGATTTATTCAAATTAGATTCATAGGGGCATTTCTATTAAGAAGTGCTTTCTTTTGGTTTATACTTTTGATGGAAAATGATTTATGACTACTCTATGATTTAAATTCATTCTTAGAAGTATTTATAGCTACATTTGAAGAAAGTGGTTGAAAAAGGATAATAAAGATCAAGCTTTTATTTCTACAATAAGGATTATATTCAATTACAAAATATACTATAAAATTCTAAAATCTTACTTCTAATGTGGATTAAAATGATAAAGCTCTTATTAATTAGTTTTAATATGGATTAAAAGATAATACCAAAGATTTATTGTTGATGATGTCAAAAGTAGATTCATTGAAGTAATTTATTATTTTAACTATTGCATGTAATAATTGATTCTTAGAAAGATGCTAAGAACAAAGATTTGGTTGAAGCGATACAAGTGAAGCCATAGTGATACCTTTTAAATTTTTAAAAACTTACTTGTCCAAGCTAGAGCTTATGCAAATTGACATGGTACATTTTAAACCTGTAATTGAGCAAAAAAAGACTTGTCATCATCAAAAAGATTTGTACCTATATTTGAGATAATTCAATCACACTACTCAATATTATTCAAAGAAGCAACACAATCATATAATGAGGAGCATGGTTAACAAAGAAGATGATGTGTTGGAAAACAAGTTTTTTCAGTTATAATAAAGATTATGTAGTTGAATTCTTTCATAATTCCTAATAAAGGTCCTATTTTCTTTTCAAATCCCTCATCTTGTTTTACAATAAAAGTTCTTTTAGAACCAAAAAGTCACAAAGTCTTAGCCTTATTAGATTCAAGAGCCTCAACTTCTTTTACAGATTAAGTCTTTGTCAAAAAAAAAAAAATATCCTTAGTTAAGAAAATCAAACTCGTGCATGTAGAAGTAATAGATGGTTGTTTGTTATTTCACGAAGATATTACACATGAAATTATTTTTTTAGAATTAGTAACTAGTAGTTATAATAATTTAATTTTTTTTAATGTGATCAGATTTACTTTTCAACTAATTATTTTAGGATTATTATGGTTAAAAAAATATAACCATTAAATAAATTAGATTTCTTATAATCTTAATTTTTTCTATAATTTAATCCAAGATTTTATTAGGTAAGTAGAAATCTATAAAACCAATACATTCAAATCATTATTGATAGATGTGAAAACTTTTATATAAATTGCAAAAAAATAAATTTTTTTTCAATATATGTCATATCTATTATTGATAAAAAAAATTTTCAAATTGCATTCTAATCTAATACCAAGATTATTAAAATGTTTTTTAAAAAAAAGAATGTAGATATTCTTATAGAGCATCATCTTTATCATTATTCCATCAATCTTCAAAAAAGATCTCAACCACCATTTGAATCAATTTATAGCCTATTATAAAACGAGTTAGGTGCAATTAAAGAATATATTGATGAGAATTTGGCTAAGAACTTCATATGCCATTCTAAATCTTAGGCCAAGGCTATTATCTTATTTATAAAGAAAAAAAACAAATCTTTGTAGATATTTGTGGACTATCAAGGATTCAATAAGATCACTATAAAAAATAAGTATCTTCTATCTTTAATTACAAGACTTTGTGATCAATAGAATCAAGCAAACATCTATACAAAAATACATCTATGAAGAACAAACAATTTGGTAAGCACTTAAGAAAGAGATGAATGAAAAAATATGTTTCAAATCAAGTATGGAGATTTTGAATTTAATGCCATGCCTTTTGGACTAACAAACATAGAAGTTATTTTCCAACATCTAATAAATGATGTCTTTCTTAAGTTTCTAGATGATTTTATTATCTGTTATTTAAATGACATCTTAATCTAGTCTAAAAATATAAAAGAACATGAAGTTCATATTCATCGTATATTACAAAAACAAACAGATCCATGATTATAGATCAAGATAAAAAAGTGTGTATTTTATACTATTTAAGTTGAATTCTTAAAATAAATCATATCAAATGATGGTTATAAGAAGATTTAGACTATCATGTATTGAAAGACCTCAAAAATAATTAGAGATATAGAACTTTTTTTGGAATTTGCTAATTATTATTTAATCTTCATCAAAAATCTTTTTTAAGTGATAGTTATTTTTACACATTTGATAAATAAAGATAAGTTTGAATGGATCAATAAAGTTAAAATATCTTTTGAAGCTTGAAAGACAACATTTATTTTTTAATCAATCTTCTATCCAAATGATTTTTTCAAGGCATTTTGTATAGAAGCAGATGCATCAAACTTTGCTATAGATGTCATTTTCTTACAAATAGAAGCAAATATAAGCTCTATGTCATAGCTTTTCATTCCAAGAAATTTTTACCAATGAAGATTAATCATAAGATTTACAACAATGAGCTTTTTTAAAACCTAGATTTATTTCAAGAATGGTATTATCATTTGAAAGGCATCTTAAGACTAGTCACTATGTATAAAAATCACAATAATCTCAAATACTTTATATCAGTACGTGTTTTGAATTGTTGCCAAGTCCATTGGAACATGTCTTTAGCAAGATTTGATTTCAAAATCATTTATTGATCCAAAAAAAAATAAGATTAATTAGTCACCATTTTTGTAATTTTTTAATCTTGCATCAAAAGAAAAAGATGCATCTTTTTATCAATAAAGAATGAATTTTTTAAAGCTAGAGCATTTTCATTATAAAATAATAGAACCAACACTGATTATTGGTTTAAACTTTGTCAAATAAATTTAATCAAGTATGTGATTTTCTTCAATTATTCATGATATCAAGTATAGTTCTTTTAAGTCTCATGATACTTCCAAATCTGAGCTCAAAAATAATCTAATCTATTTTAAAGGATGATTATATATTCCAAAAAAACAAAACATGATTATAGGTCCTTCAAGCTCATCATGACTTTCCTACATTCACATATTTTAGATAGAATAAAACTTTAGAGCTAATTTTAAGAGATTT